AATGTATAAGTAACTCAAACAACAGCAAAAAACCCCCAATAATCTGATTAAAAGATGGGCAAATGATCTGAATAGACATTTCTCAAAAGAAAGACATACAGATGGCTAAAAAGTATACGAAAAAAAGCTCTCAACACCACTAATCATCAGGGAAATGTAAATCAAAATTACAATGAGATATCATCTCACCCCAGTTAGAATGGCCACTATTATTAAAAAGACAAAAAATAAACAATGTCGAGGATGCAGAGAAAAAGGAACTCTTATGCACTGTTGGTGGGAATGTAAATTAGTACAGCCATTATGGAAAACCATTATGGAAATTTCTCAAAAAACTAAAAATAGAACTACCATATGATCCAGCAATCCCACTACTGGGTATTTATCCACAGGATAGAAAATCAGTATATTGAAGAGATATCTGTATCCCCCATGTTTACTGCAGAACTATGTGCAATAGCCAAGATATGGAATCAACCTAAGTGTCCAACCTATTCCACACAATGGAATATTATTCTGCCATAGAAAAGAATGGAATTTTGTCTTTTGTGGCAAAATGGATGAGCTTGGAGAACATTATGTTAAGTGAAATAAGTTAGCACAGAAAGATAAATACCAAGTGTTCTCACTCCTATGTGGGAGCTAAAAAAGGTGGGCTCATAGAGGTAGCTGGAAGAACTGTAGTTACTAGAGGCTGGAAAGAGTAGAGGGAAGTGGAGAGAGTATGGAGAGGTTGGTTAATGGATACAAAATTACAGCTACATAGGAGGAATGAGTTCTAGTGTTCTATAGCACTGTCAGGTGAATATCGTTAACAATAATTTATTGTGTATTTTCAAACAACAAGAAGAGAGGATTTTGAATGTTCCTAACACAAAGAAATGACACATTTTTGAGATGATAAATATGCTAATTACTCTGATTTGATCATTACACATTGTATACATATTTTGAAATATCACTCTGAATCCATAAATATGTAAAATTATTATATGTCAATTAAAACTAACATTTTCTTAAAAAGGTAAAAGTAAAGAAAAAAAAGAACTAAATAGCTAGTATACAAATGTGGCAGGCAAACTCCTTTAAATTTTATAGTGTATGTATGTGTTACCTATTCAAAATTTAAATAAGCAGATAAACTTTAAAAAAAGTTACACATTTAAGATAATAAAGTACTAAATATGTTCTTTTCTCCTGTATCATCAGATATATTTTCACAAAACAAAATAGAAAAATATGTGATTGAATGAGTAGTAAAATAAAGACATATTTATAAGTTATAAATACAAATATT